CACAATGCTAAGATTAAAAAATAAGAAGTAAAAATTGGCACCCTCCTTATTATCAATGCAGAAAGAAAACATATGAAAATTAAGGTTTTCTACATTATGAATATAGAAAATAAGAAGTGAAAGTTCACTTTTTTGATATCATTAATATAGGAAAGTAAAAATCTAGAAATGGGATTCTCTGTATTTTTAATATAGAAAAGTAATATATAAAACTAGCTGTTAGTTATATGGTTTGAATACAGATAAATATGAAATAGAAGTAAAAGTTTTCTATTTTCTCACTGTACAGAAAAAAATGCGAAGTACAAGAAACTCTTTTCTATAATGCTAGTAGAGAAAACTAATACGCACACAGCTTCATACTGATTTTTAACTACTATTCTTAATAAAATCAAGTAAATCAATAGTTCTCGAATAAGTAAAAGAAATTGGCAGATCATACACGATCAGATAAGAACAGACAAGATTTACATTACGTACGTATGTATGTATGTTTCTTTTATCATGAATCTTATATGATCTTTTACGATCAAGCAAGAATAGTGTAGCCTGTTCGTATGCGATTCTTAATGTTCAAATCTTATAAGATTTTTTGCTAGCATCTTACAGACAAAATCTGACGAAATCTTAGAAAAAACGAACACGTCAGATATCATACGGAAAATCTTATAAGGATAAGATCTTATACGGCCTTACACGATCTGACGTCTGGGTTTTCGACCTGGGCTACGAAGAATTCCGTCGCAAAATTGCGAAACCTTATGAAATCTGCTGAACTTTAAAAAGTTCTGAAAGGAAACTACGAAACAATTTGCGCTCCACAGAACTTAAAATAGTTCGGTGGATAAATGCGTAACTTCTGAGGTTCTGTAGAAAATCGATTTTGTTTAGAGTGCAGGGCGTCCAGATAAAGCAAAGAGAGAAATAAAGGACTTCGCTACCTATAGTGACTTAATTTAAATATTTCAGTTTTTCTGACAGCCTGCGATAAAAGATGTGTATATGCCGTTCATTTTGAAAGATCAATGGTAAAAGACGAATCTAATAATGACATTAATCGTAAACTTTCTTTAGAATAATCCTCATTATTGCAGATGAAATAACATGAAGACTGTTAATAGCATCAGAAAACTATGAGTCTAAGGATGAAGAAAAGTTTATTTTCCGCTGATATGGTCTAAAATTTTATGTTATACAGTGCAGATGAACTAACATTAACATTTTAAAATGTGCTACAGCTCATATTGATACTATAAATTACGCTGCACCTCTTCACTTATTCATATGCCATCTGTTTTCTTCAAAGCTTCAAGCACTTTCAAGACAAGTAATAACCAAACAAAATAAATCTATTCGTCTTAGTCGTAAATTAGTATTACCAAAAGATCATATCGCAATGGTCTACTTACGAGAAAGATAACTTTTTAACTTCTCTCTCCATGGGACATGCTGGAAAAATAATGTTCAATTCTCTGTTTATGAATCTAGTTCAAATAGTAGCAATTGTGATTCCTGTGTATTATTCAAAGAGAAGCATGAAACGAATTGCGAATTTATTACGGTTATCATTCATGATTTAATGAAACACTGTTATGCAGTAGTTCATACAATAGAAATTGATCGACGAGACTCTCTCTCTCAATCAAGAAGAAAAGTGTTGTTAATCTATTCATATTCTGAGGGTAATTAACTGGCCCATCGAATATGATAACAATTGATATACATGATATTATTGTAAAGCTTGCGCATAGTAAACAGGATATTTTTCATTTTTTTTCAATTCCCAAACACAGTAGATAGTACTTAAATAAAGATTGATTAATATGTTTTCTTTTCATGCGATGAAATTATCTTTCTTTTCAGAAGCCTCCGAACCATTTTGTTTCAACTATTGCTTCTCTTCTTAACAGAAATTTTATTATTCTATTTTCTTCTTATTTAGTTTTGAGATCAAATCCTTCCGCTTTTCTCTTATCGCGTACTAAAGTGAATCAGGTTATCACAACCATTGATACAAGACGTAGAAAAAGTCAATTTCAGAACAAGTTTAACACTTAGCTGCAAATATAGCGTTAAAATGCAAAACGTCTCACCATCGGTTCATTCTAATGACTGCATTGCACCACTAATAAAAGAATACCTGCACTTTAACGGTAAAAGTAAAAGTAATAGTATTTGGTTGTAATAAAACGCGTTCTTATCTCTTCAGCGATTAAACAATAAGAATCTACTGATTTCATGCGTGTACACGTGCTCATAAACTCTAATCGTGATTGTCCACGCGTGCTAATGTTGGTGTGGGTGTGGGTGCGTCTATTTCATCAAATGAATACCACACCGATACACTCACACCCTGCGCTGTGAATGTCCCGCCTGAAGAATTTTCAACAAAACCTCCGAAATGTAGAAACTGTTTGTCTTGTAATGTATATTGTACTTTTGCACAAGCTGAAAACCTGATGATTACATGACACAACTCATATTATTGATTTCGTCATACCTATAAATTTTGATGTATTCAAAAAACCAATATCGTTATCCATCAGAGTTGACAGATGCAACGTTCTTCTTATAGTGAATTCATGAGAAAAAGACAGCAATCCAATTCGCAGAGCAGTAGCTAGTCGTTCGTCAGCGCCACTCACGACTAGCCGCTGCTACAATCCAGTAAACTCTTCGAAAGGGATACCATTGGCGATTTACAGTGGATTCAATGGCGTGGGAGTATGCATGAAGTCACTATCGGTCGAGTCAGACGAAACTTCGAAGGTTAGCGCAGATTACTCTCACGTTAGTTTTAGATATTTTCAGGGGCGGTCTCCAGCTAAGAGAAAATGCTTTGAGCAACTATCACGCATCGGGGGAAATATTTATGATCAACTAACTCTGATTACGTGGAGAATAGGAATATATTAGATAGACGTCGTAACGTACATGTGGTAGTATACACTCGTTACTAACATCTGTAGTAGTAAAAATATACCACACAGTCGTAACTATGGATTATAGTAATAAAAACGACAGATTTAGAAGACTAATTAGATACTAAATCCTAATTATAATGATATATAATTAGTGAAACTAGATTTTAATTACTGATACGAGTAGTGGTGAACACAGGTAATTGATCTGTACCAAAATTTTTATCTAATTAGTGCACCTAAAGTGTTAACTTTTTCATGTTTTATGTCTGTAATGGTAGGGGGTACAGGAGAGTCGCAAAAACCTTATAATTACTTCAACTTACACTCACTATTTTCTTCGAAAATATATGTGAGTTCCACCAAACAGAAATGTAAGAGTCGACCTAAAGTAATTCAGCAGCGTTGATGGCTAATCAACGGTCAGTAACACTCTGGCAAAACTCTAAAGAAGGGTGTTCACTATAGAGAGAGGTTCAATTCTAGCCAAAATTACAACACGGGACTGGGAAAAACCCGTTTATTGAACGGAAGTGTCCACTATGGAGTGTTTTACTGTAGTAGTTTTACCGGGTCATTTTCAAAAGAGATACTTTTTAGTAAAGATCTCCTGTGTTTTGGTGAGTACAGCTATTAGAAATATTATATGATTATTTAATCATTCCACAGCTACTTGAAGTTTTCTGTGAATACTTAGAACTTCGTGTAAAAGAATAAAATTCAAATATTCATGATTCAAATCACGTTTTAATGATTTAATCTGAGTAAAGGGCCTGTTAAAAAAAATGAAAAAAATTCACGATTGCAATCTTTATTGTGTTTTTGAAAAAGAAAATCGTTTTTTTAATTAATCTCAATCAAACAAGGGATTAGTAAAAACAAATTTCAAGTATTCATAATTGAAGCGGTGTTATAGTTTTATTAGAATCTATTATATTAAGCGAAGAGAAAATATTAGACATTTGATGCTGGATGCTGCAATCGCTTGTAATCGAGACGGCAGTAGATACGTGATTTTAATCTTGTGGTTAGTTTCAGTAGAAATGGTAGATAAATATCTGATATCTTCTGAGAATTTGAAATCACACGTAGAAAGTAAATATCTGATGTCTGGTATCTGCTGAGAGTTTGAAATTATAGGGTACTAAATTCTAGTGGAATTCCTTAAAATTTTATCGACTTCAGATACGCTTATTCTAAAATTAGTAACAGTTATAGATTTGGCACTGCATGATTCAAAGAGTGCTCACACACTCATATCTGCATTGTTTATTTAATGAATAGGTCAGTTATTTTGAAGACTTTAGGAAACTAAAATAGAAAATTCGTTATTCAATATCAATGAGAAGCGTTTACTATCCGCTCCCCATACTGATTATTTCTGATTGTAACCCAAATGTTGGACATTGATATGTGATTAAATTAATTCTAATAATCAATTGCATTGATTACTAGAGTCTTTGGTATTCCAATGTACAAGCAATTACATTCAAATTTTGAATTATGTATACTTCTTTATTTCTCAAAATTTATAGTTAGTTGAAGCATGTGTATTTCATATGTCGAAATTGCTTTTTTTTAAATTTCAAACGCAACATTGAATATTGGCAGCACCTGGACAAAAACCAGCATGTGCAGCGCCAGTACAAGTTGCTTTATCTTTACAGACACCAGCTCGTCCATTGACTGTGCATGGAGTAGTTGCTGGAATACAACATTGGATGTTGGCTGCTCCTGGACAAAGACCAGCAACTGATTTTCCGTTACATGACGTTGATGCTATGCATTGACCCGCTTTACCTTCGGCTGTGCATGATACAACTAAATAAGTAAAACATATAATAAAATTAATATGGGGATTTTTCATCAAATTAACATGCATAGTTACCTCCTGTGCCACTTCCACAACCTAATGCACTCTTTGCTTTAGCCCAGTAGTTTTCACGATCGGCCTGTCCATTAGTTCCACCGTTAATCTTTCTGGTAATTTGTCGAAAAGCATCTAATGTTCCAGCATCAGCTAAAGCATTCAAATTGTGTTTAGTCCAAAACCAAACACTTGTGCGAAAACCGACTGCAGGTGTTGCAACTATCTGTGGATTGGCTTCCAAATCGATCCCCAAAGCTCTTCCAGCTTCACGATAGTTGGCTCGACCTGTAAGTTGAATGGGACCTCGTCCTTTGAATCGTACACCATCACCTGGCTGTGTATTGCCTAAATCTAAGCGACCTTCATAGGCTGCGCCTGAAGCTAGTTCTTCCATGTAAACTAATTGGCCAGATTCATGGGCTAATTGAGCAAGAAAAGCTGCCTTACGGTGACATGTATTGATTGAACCTTCGACCAGAGCTGCATTAATGTGACTTAAATATTCAGGATGCTTGGAATTGGGCATAATGGCTTTCAATTGAGCAGCAGTGATTGATTGCGAAAGACAATTATGTACATTGGCAGCAATCAGAGCGAGAAGCATAAGTTTCAACATGATTGAAAAATTTTTGAATGATATTTTGAGAAATATCGAAGACTATATATATATATATCTAAGACGATTGTGTTAGTTTTGTTTTTCGAAACAGATTCGATATCGCTTTGTTTGGGATGGGGTGATGTTGAAATACGATAACAATGCTCCCAGCAATATATTTACAGAAGTGTCGCTTCTATTTTGTGAAGAAAGAGAAAAGCACACTGCTCGAATTTCATAATTGTATGGTTAATCCAACAATAAATTTGAAATTTTTTCAATTAGCTTTTAGTATTGTTTTATTTTGCTATTAAAATATCCCGTTTCGCCTACGCTTGGCAACCACTTTCCATCCAAGTATTTTCTATTGAGAACAGATATGAAACTCGAAAATGGTTTGATTGCGACGAAAAATAGATCAAATACCGGGCACTAAATTATTTTTAGCAACGTTCCCAGAATTTTAATTTTTTAGCATAAGGTTCAAAAAGTCGAAAATACTATGTCTCGCTATACTTTCCTATTGACTCTTGTGTTCGATGAAGAATATATAGGGTGTAGATGGATCTACATTTAGCTAACACGAACATCCGCATCAAACCTATAAGGTTCAAACCAATTTTAATTATAATCGAATTAGTTTTAACTAAATGTCCTGGGAAAGAGAACAAACTGCTTGAATTATGATAAAGTAAGAACTGCCCTAGATTGATTTTTCTAGCCTTAGCTTTATCTCGATCATGAAATAAATTAGGTCTCAGATTATTGTGGAGTATAGAGTTTCGATTTCTGAATAAATTTCAGTGTTATTGTGTTAGTATCTATTATAGTTAAATTTCTGATGACAGCTTTAGTCAAATTGTTAGATTTTTTAAGGTTTGAATCCTACTAATTGGATTTTTCTTCCATTAAAATCTATTCAATTTTTTCTTCTTGGAATTGATTGTGTTGATTTCTGATTTGAAACCGGATTTCAGTTAGTGCTATGTTCAAAATCCATACTAACTCGATTATTTTTTGAAAAACGATATTTCAAGGAATGTAATATTTTGCTACTCTTCATGGAAAATAATCGTGATTTTCACACGTTCGTAACGTTAGCATCGTATTCGAGTGAAACCTGCCCGCACTCAAAAAAAAGGTTCCACGCGGAATTTAATTTGCAACGAAATCGAAACCTTAGAGGTTTCGATGAAAGTCTACGAAACCTTCAAAAGGTGTAGATTTCGTTGCAAATCTCGAAACCTCTTTTAAGTTCCGTACCACGCACGAAACCAGTTTTGGCACTAAAAAGTTCCGCATGGAACCTTTTTTTTTCAGTGCGTATTCTTTTGAACTATTGTTCCAACACACACACTCATGTTACTAGTAGAATTTCTTATGTTCTATCGAATGGTATATTTCGATTAACTTGATGTTGACGCGTTCTCCTGAATTTTCGAAAAATCCAAAAAATCCTAGAATTTGTTTTGTAAAATCAGATTTTTTGATCGTGCTGAAAATGGCCCCGAAAATCTCAAAATACTGTTTTTTTCCTATGGGATTCTAGCACCATACTCGCCAAAGTCGTTGTTCTGAGTACTCCACTCGTGATCGAAACACAACTTGAGTAGATCTATTCAATGATTTCGGCAGAGTTTTCATAGCTCAAAGCAGGATCTTTTGAGATTTCTTCAGTATTATCTTATCAGCGCTGACGTCTAATTTTAAGCTACGAAAAATATGTGAACTCCACTGCATGGAGTTTGTCGAGTTCCACTTGGAGCATAGGTACGAGAATTTGAACATTGGTCGAAGTGACTATGGTCGGATTTTACAAAAAAAAGCATTTCAAGATTTTTTGGATTTTTCGAAATTTCAGGAGAATGGTTCAAGTCTAGTTAATCGAAATATACTATTCGATAGGATATACGAGGTTCCACTAGTAATATGAGTATGGATGTTGGAAATTATCTCTAAAGAGCATCGAAATGTTTACTCGAATGCGATGCTAACTTCACCTACCAGATGGTCACTTAATACTTCTCACTGAGATAGCTTGAGTAAACTATAATCTAAAAAATACTACTATACTTTAAGTGAACAGTTAGTCATCGGCTCCGACCGTTTACGGAGACTTTTCACGGTCGTTGAAAAAGAGGACCGTATTTCGTCGTAACACTTCGTTTACGACAACAGTAAACGACTACAAAATACGGTCGCCGTTTTTCACCGTGAGTGATAGGTATACGGCCGTTTACGACTCGGGATGATCGACCTGGAATGTTATGATAATCTTTTTTTTATCGTTGCAGGTTTTGGATTCTGAATATTACATAATCTGGAGAAATTTTGAATATGGAACCGTGGAACCAGATATGATAAATTCAAAATTTTCAAACATCTACTTTGGTTGTTCACGTTATCACATCACCAACAGAGAATTATAACAGGTGATACAACAAGTTTATATTAAACGTATCATTCCTGAAAGTGCAGCTCCTCACCGCCAGATACCTGAAGTAAATATTACTTGAAGGAATTTTCAAAAAAATCCAATCAATTTCCTATTTTATTCCTAGTGTCCAAATATATGGGAGTCGCACCCTATATTTGTTGGTCGGGTATATCAATTAGTTGCCCAGTTATTTGATATACCTCTACGAGCAGCATCGAACCGACTACTCAAAAATTTTGAGAGGTTGTATAACCTCTCCTAACTCTTCTGCATATATCCAGACTTCGAGATTTGTCCTTTTTCTTTTCTTCATGTTTCCCATTTTCTTGCATATTTCTTTTCGTTTTCTAAATATTTGTTTATTTTGAAGAGTAAACGTTTTCCCGAAAGCCCAGTTCGGTGTAAAATGTCGAACTCATATATCATATATCACCAGAACATGCTAGAAGCATCCCTGAACATGCTAGAAGCACACCTGAACATGCCAGAAGCATACCTGAGCATGCTAGAAAGATCGCTGACGGTCCTAAAAACATACCAGCCGTTTCAATAGGTATTCCTATCGATCCTCAAACTATACCTCAGTGTGGGACTAGCTGGTTCAAAAGTTAGGTAACATCCTCAGAATAACTTCTGGTTCTAGATGAAAACGCTGCAGCATTCGAAAAGTGGGTATGCGATACCTACTCTATCCTTCCTCTTTAGGGCTATCAGCGAATGTGATACAGATCGACTTCACTATGTGCACAGAGACCCTTTTTTGTCGCGCTCTGTGGGGCACGCCGCGACACTTAAATAAAGGTCTGTGTAACGTGACAGAACTCGAATAGTCGATGTTAACAACATGCAGTAGTTATCCTTTACTAAACAGTTTCCATATTATGTTAGACGAGTGTCAGGAGTGTTGTTGTTGAGTATACACAGTTTTACTAAGGGATAAGTTCTGACCTGGCTTAGTAGGCGAACAGGCATAGTTTGAAATTTGCACTTTCTGAAACGCTAATCAGCGATGCTTGAATTCGAATTATAAAATTTATATTTAGAGTAAAATCTTATCTTTCGCTTTTTCCTTCAACTATACGAGTGCCGGATTTTTTATTTTCGAATCGAATTTGTGTAGTTGAACCTTCATTTATATTCGAATATGAAATTGTTGCTTGTATCATTTCATACATGACATTTTGCAAGGCGAAAACTTTTATTCGATGAAAAAGGAGAAGACCCAAGCGAATTCGTTCGTAATTATCAACATTTTCAAGAACTATCGGGTAGCGCATAAAGAACGAGGGTTGTAGTATTTCATGGATATCTCGGAAACTATTCGCAATTTACCAATACTTTTTTTCCCAATTGAAAGAGAATTTTCTTCTCTACAAATTCAGAAGTACACATTTTGTGCCATTGTACAATTTTCTGGTGCGAAAGCGTGAAGAGTAAAGAGCTCCAAAACATAGTACTTTCGAAATATAAAGCTGGACAATCTTGTATTAAGATCCATGAGGATCTTCATGATTCAGTAGGCTTATCAACCGTCGAAAGGTGGTGCAAATGGTTCGAGATACCGGCCGGATTACTTTATTGAGATCAATGGGTCGTCCACGAACAGTAAGAACTGCAGCAAACATACAGAAGGTAAAACAGCGACATGATCGATTACGAATTTTTTCGTGTCGTAAAATTGCACGTGATTTGAGAATATCTCGTACAAGTGCTCAGAGAATTCTCAAAGATGATCTAAAACTAAAATCTTACAAGAAAAAAACCCAGCCATAAACTTCTGAAGCCCAAAAAGCAAAAAGATTAAAATTTGCAAATTGGATACGAACGAACTTTCGTAAAGAGGACACTTTGAGATTTTTTTTTTCTGACGAAAAAATGTTCGACACTGATGGAGTTTATAACTCCCAAAACGAGAGAATCTGGGCGCCAAGTCGTGCTGATACTGATGTGAAAGGTGGTATCAGGATCAGGCAGATACAGAAATTTCCTAAAAACGTTATGGTCTGGCTGGGAGCATGTTCCAAAGGGGTGTCCCCTTTGGTGATTTTTGAAAACGGAACAGTTCATCATGAGCGGTACATACAAGAAGTACTCCCTGTGGCTTTGAAATTCGGAAACGACATGTTCGGTGACAGCTGGACTTTTCAACAAGATGGAGGAAGGCCGCATATTCACCGAAAAACTCAAGATTGGTGTCGAACTCATTTACCATGTTTCATTGGCAAAGACCATTGGCCTCCAAATAGTCCTGATCTAAATCCCCTGGATTATTTTGTTTGGGATGAATTTGTCAATGCTATCAACTGGGATCTGGTGACATCCAAGACGGCTCTTATCAATGAACTGAAACGTAGTGTAAAGAACATCCGTTCTGAAGTTGTTTTTGAAAGTTATGCAGCTTGGACGAATCGATTGTATCGATTGAAACAAGCTAATGGCAACTGTTTAAATAAATAAATTTAGACTGTTTTTGTAGAGAAAAACATTCTCTATCAAACGAAAAAAAGAGAACAGAAAAATATGAAAAATTGATTCATATATTGAAAAAAACAGTGAAACCCTCATTCTTTATGGGCCACCCGATAATTTGACAATTTTATTGCTTTCTAGAAAAAAATGAAAATCAGATACATGGTCACTTGTTATAATTAATTCTTCATTTGTTGGTAATGATATGATTTTTAAGAAATTGAGATTTTCTAATAAAGTTACAATTTTTATGAATGTTGTTAGGTCCTTAATATCACGTTGATATGTGCTGGTACAATTTTCCCTAGCTTCTTGTTTTATTTCGAATCTTTGAAAAAGCGCACGCACTCTCTCTTTTTCACTTCGCTTATCTCTCTCGCTGTTCCTCACTAAACTGCGCAAAAGAGAAGAAAACAAAGATTATAAAGACATGATCTATTCACATCCTTTTTAGCTTTTTCAGATGAGAAAAGGAAATAGAGAGAAGAGAGAAAACGAACAAGAGTTATTCGACTAAAACAAAAGAACGAAAGAGAATATAATAACAAAGACACAACACAACATGTTTTATGGCATATCATTTATGCCATAACAAATGTATTAATCGACATTCCATTGCATTGATTACTAAAGAGGTAATTTCTACCAAATTTAACAGGGCAGTAATTTTATCAAAAAATAATTGATCATTATGAGTATTAGAATTAATCGCAATAGATAGATTAATTCCTGGCATATATTGAATGGAGGAATTAATATAGACCATAAATTCTGGAAAATCAACGTATAATTCCCTAAAAACCAATAAAACTATTTTTTTAAGATAAATAACTGGTTTTCAAATTACTTTTTTGGTCGGATGAGATAAAAGATCTTGTTATTTTCGAATACTAATTTAAAAAGCCAACTCCGATTAGTCCAAAAAGAAGACGTAAAATAGTTCATTGGCATAGGGTATGTATGTATTTCAAAATTACGATCAATCATGTCAGAATAACAAAGCATGAACTTGTTCAAAAAAGATATATCTCGCACTATTGATTCTTCCCATACTGTTGCATTTAAATAATTGTGGACATATGATTCAATTACATCATAACAATTCAAATGGATAATTTGAGGCGTATAAGTACCCAAGTTGATCAAAACGGACTCGTTTACGGTCTGTTTATCGACGGTAAACGATGTCAAAACGGTATATTTACGGCAGTAAATAGGCCGTATTTGCCCGTAATACCTGGCACAGTAATACGGCACCGCAAACGGGACTGAATTTTCATGGTTTACAGCTGTTTGTGCTCCGTACTCTCATGATAATACGGTCCGTATTACTGCGCCAGATATTATGGCAAACTGTCGCCCGTAAAATAGTCGTAAAGTAACCGTATACGGACCGTAATGTTCGACCTGGGTAAGTAAAGGAACAAGTTCATGAAGATAAATATTATGACAGATGACCAAATATTTAAGTGAAGAATATTTTTTATCACTAGGAGTTATTAATTTGAAATGACGATTTTCTGGATAATCGAACAGATGTATTTTTAAATATCTTAAAACAGGTAACTCGAAAATAATTTGATAAATATCATCCTCTCTGTGTTCATAATCAAAGATAGAAACAATTAATGAGCAAAGATTTGGTAAATCTTTTATGCGAAAGAGGACAATTGATAATTTGAATGCCGTAATTTCTTGAATAATAATTGATTGAAGACGAATAAATGTAAAATTAATAGTACATAAATCGTTGAACTGAGAGAGCCAGAGTTCCTGAGCAAAATTTAGCGAAAACATATGATGTTTGTTTTGATGGATAAATTGTTTATAACGATCTTCGATAGTTGGAGTTAATGACGCTGGATAGTTAATTTTCAATTGAAGTGTTGAGTTATTCAAAAGATTTTGAAAGCGAATATTCAATATTACATCCATCTAGATAACTAAAGATTTCGAAAAACATTTCATTAGCTAATTGTTCATTTGTTTGAACCATTTTTTCCTAGGAAAGATAAGAAGTTTATCAATCTCATAAATTCTTTATAAATTTACTTTTAAAATTTATGGCTGATGATGGATTTGTTAATGAACTTATAGTTGTTTCAGAATTTCATACTATCTAAAATAATAATAATATTTATTTTTACGCAGCCGCGCAACTACAATTCTACCCTGAAAAACGACAACCGTACGAAACGTAAAAAGGGTTCCGAAAATTGCTGCGAATTCGAAATCATTTTAGGTTCCGTGCAAGCCAGGTTCTCCACGAACCCTTTGTCGAAAGGTCAAACATAGGGTTTCTCACGCTGCTCTGTCTACTCGATGTAATAAATCAGTTAGAAAGCTCTGTCTAGCAAACGCCGGTTCCTAGAAAATCCTTCTGGGGTTTCAGGGCTTTCATTCTCCCCCTTCTCAATCGAGAACAACCCGATCGTAACACCTCAGGGCAACAATGCGCGATTAGCTCTTGCAGAAACCAGCGGCCAGAACGATCGACATGGAATGCTTGATCTAAACAGAAATAAGTTATTTCAAGAAGTTTCAGCTTTGAAAATCGAACTTACCTTTTATGTTTGATCATATGACACTTGACCTCAGGTGAAATGAAAGACGTAATAATGGTCTGTTTGATTCATCTCATTATTGACGGAGTAAGGGAGGCCTATTTTGCGTAGATAGTTAATTACATCGATAGCACTATTCTATTAATAATCTCTTTGAATAGCAACTGAAATTTTTCCGCACTTGCCAATGTAAGAAAATCAATTTGTGTTTTTTATGCATTTAGTTTCTGACTATGGGAAGCTTGGATAGAAAAAAAAGACGACGGATTTGTTTTTCTAGGCCTTGACAACCTATTGTGAAGTTTCATCAGAATACAGCAAAGAGTTGAAATAAAGTCCTATTTGTCAGCGGTCTAATTTTGTCGGTGTAAAATTTCTGCTAAGATATTAGAAGGTCGAATTATAGTCTACATTTTGAAGGATTAAACATTTTTAAAGCTGTGAGAATTTTTTTTGCAATTTGAAGCAGAACCTTGGAAACCAATTGTGGTGTTTCTTATTTGCTTTTTCAACACTAAGGAGGTTAAGAAACCTAAGAGAGATTTTAGAAAACGCTGAATGTTCTTGAAAGCCCTCTTGGAAATCCGGAAAGGCTTGTTTGAGGGATTGCGAGTAGGTTTTGTTTTGGATGGAAGCTCCCTTTTTTAGGGTACGGTCAAAATTGAAGCTAATTAGCGGTTCCTTTTGTGGAAGGTGTGGGTTGCGACACTTAAATAAGGTTTTGGTGCGAAACCTTTGATGATTGTCAAAATTCAGTGAGGTATGATACCAAACCCGGTTGACTACGAAGCCTAAAATAGTTCCATACTGAAGACACTTTTGAAAAATCACAGGAGTATTTTACAAAACGTTTTTTAGCACGAAACCTTTGAAAATTTTCGGAGACGCGTACGAATGCTTTCAGAGTATTACAAAATACTGGTGAACCTTAAAGGTTTCACCAGACGCAATACACAGGCACCTGCATTGAAAGTTACCATTAAACAAAAAATTCATAAGATAATAGTCACAAAAGCTGATGCACAGAAATCTTTATTCTTTATGCTATTAATAATGAAAATTTACCAATAAGAATTTCGATCTTCTACATTCCTCATACAGAAAAATAAGAAATGAAAATGAAAATTTTCTAAATCATTAATATAGAGCATTGAAAAACAAAACGTAGAATTTTCGATATTATTACTCTAGGAAAATCACAATTGAGAATTAAGTTTTTCTATATTGTCACTATAGAAAAAATAAAAATGAAATAAGAATTTTCTGTATTATGAATATAGAAAAATAAGAAATGAAAAGTAACACTTGCAATAATATCTATACAGAAAACGAAGAAAACAAAAATATGACTTTTTGTAGAGTTAACATAGAAAAACTGGGTGTTAAAATTAAGACTTTGGATGTTATCAATACAATAATATAGAAAAACAATGGAATATTCTATATTACGAACTGAGAAGAATACGAAATACAACTTATTGCTTTCTATGCTGTTAGTATAGAAGAACAATCAATAAAAATTGGCATTTGCACAATGCTAAGATTAAAAAATAAGAAGTAAAAATTGGCACCCTCCTTATTATCAATGCAGAAAGAAAACATATGAAAATTAAGGTTTTCTACATTATGAATATAGAAAATAAGAAGAGAAAGTTCATTTTTTTGATATCATTAATATAGGAAAGTAAAAATCTAGAAATGGGATTCTCTGTATTTTTAATATAGAAAAGTAATATATAAAACTAGCTGTAGGTTATATGGTTTGAATACAGATAAATATGAAATAGAAGTAAAAGTTTTCTATTTTCTCACTGTACAGAAAAAAATGCGAAGTACTAGAAACTCTTTTCTATAGTGCTAGTAGAGAAAACTAATACGCACACAGCTTCATACTGCTTTTTAACTACTATTTTTCTTAATAAAATCAAGTAAATCAATAGTTCTCGAATAAGTAACAGAAATTGGCAGATCATGCACGATCAGACAAGAACAGACAAGATTTACATTACGTAGGTATGCATGTTTCTGTTATCATGAATCTTATATGATCTTTTACGATCAAGCACGAATAGTGTAGCCTGTTCGTATGCGATTCTTAATGTTCAAATCCTATAAGATTTTTTTGCTAGCATCTTACAGACAGAATCTGACGAAATCTTAGAAAAAACGAACACGTCAGATATCATACAGAAAATCTTATAAGGATAAGATATTATACGGCCTTACACGATCTGACGTCTGGGTTTTCGACCTGGGCTACGAAGAATTCCGTCGCAAAATTGCGAAACCTTATGAAATCTGCTGAACTTTAAAAAGTTCTGAAAGGAAACTACGAAACAATTTGCGCTCCACATAACTTAAAATAGTTCGGTGGAGAAATGCGTAACTTCTAAGGTTCTGTAGAAAACCGATTTTGTTTAAAGTGCAGGGCGTCCAGATAAAGCAAACAAAGAAATAAAGGACTTTGCTACCTATAGTGACTTAATTTAAATATTTCAGTTTTTCTGACAGCCTGCGATAAAAGATGTGTATATGCCGTTCATTTTGAAAGATCAATGGTA